CATCAGTCTGGAGGATGCACTCATAGTACACAGCAATATGACAAACAGATGATAGGACAGCTCCAATGACCAGTGGTGCTGTTTGCTGGTTCCTTTCATTCTGGTGGATTCATTTCATTTTGTAGAGCTTTCCTCTCAAGTTAGTTATAGTTTTAAGAAACTGGTTCCACTCTTATCAAGGTACATGAACTATTCCACTTGTAACTCCTCAGTGTTTTCCAAAAACAACAGCACAGAGCGTTTAGTTAGAGAATCGAGGACGCTGCTAATTCACAGCGGCTGTCTCAGGAGTGAATCTTTCTGAGACTCGACAAATTGAGATTTTTTTACCTCTTTGCATCATCAGCCGCCTTTTGTTCGACCATCTCTGATTTGTTTGAACCGTTTTTCTATCACAAACTACCGATATTTAAAATGTTATGCGTGGAAGTTTAGCTCGAAATATCCAAGACGTCAACAACAACAATATCTCTAATAAAGATAAAAGTCTTACGTCTTTACTGTTGTTTCTCATCACGTCACTGATTTAAGATCTGTAATATCGAACAAACGGATCAAATCGTCTCTGATTATGGGCGAGTGAATAAAGTCCCATCTTTGAACTCACATTAGCCAAAAATCTGATCATGCAGAAGTGAACTAGTTGTATTTTCTGAACCAAACGTTGCTGCTTGTCACAATAGTACAAAGAAAAACATGCAGAATAGTTTGTAATATGAATTGTTAAAACTAAATCATTGGTAAAAAGTCGTATCCAAGTAGAACATAGCTGTAGAATTTTGAAATGGTTCTCCAAATATCCATCCATCCATCATCTACACACCGCTTAATCCTCACCAGGGTCATGGGGGGCTGGAGTCTATCCCAGCTGACTCAGGGTGAAGGCAGGTTCACCTGGACAGGTAACCAGTCTATCACAGGGCTACACTTAGAGACAGACAACCAAGCACACTCACATTCACACCTACGGACAATTTAGAATCACCAATTAACCTCAACGTGTTTCTGGACTGTGGGAGGAAGCCGGAGAACCCGGAGAGAACCCACGCTGCACGGGGAGAACATGGAGACTCCACGCAGAGAGATCCCAGGTGTCCTCACTGAACCGGCGACCTTGTAGCTGCGAGGCAACGGTGCTAACCACCGAGCCACCGTGCAGCCCTTCTCCAAATATAGCTACGATTTTTTATTTTCATATGGACATATTTTCCATCTTTGGACCTGCTTTGTCGGCTGGAACAGATACGCATTTGATCTAGTTGTCAATTTTGTTTCCTCCATATTTCAGCTCACTCGTTATCAGAGATTATTCCATCAACTTGTCTAATATTACAGATTCTAATTTAGTCACGTGATGAGCAATAACCGTGAAAATTTCAGGATTTTATGTTTATATTGTCGGTCAAACAGCCTCAAAGTTTATTGTAAGAACAGAAACCTCCTGGAAGTGGCAACAGGCCGGCAGACGGGCGTTTTATCTCAGTGATATGAGACGGAATAACCCCACAGCCAGATAGCGTACAAACACTGTGGCTCCTTTTTTTCCCTCCCTTTGCTCACTTCTGTGTGCAGCGTTTTACGACGCCTCACCTCGGGCCGGTTGTTTGACCAGAGAATGAACCTGCTCTGTGAAGCCATACCTGCAGAGTGAGGTCAGGCGAATCAGTTTCTGTGTTTGAATAAGGAGCATCAAGCTTTAAAACAGACGCGTGTTTGTCTGCATCTGTTAGAATTGTCCAACTCGTGAATCTTTAGTAAACCTCAGTAAAATATCTTGAGTTTCAGTGTCGCGCCGCCTCGTGCTTTATGTTTGACCAGGGTGTGTTTGATTTTTATCTACAGTCCACAGGTTTGCCTCCCGACACGTTCTGCATGTGCTCGCCGTAAACGTTGTCTCTTTTTGTTTTATTGCATCTGTTTGCCGCCCTCGTCGTGGAGCAGGCTGATCTTGTGGTGTATTCTGCATTTCCTGAGCCGGTTGCTGTTAATGTTTCACAGGAATTCAGTTCAATCTTTGACTTGAACTCAGGGCCGTACGTTTACTACATGAGCGAGTGTGTGGGTGTGTTTTGTGGGGTCTGACTCTTTTGATGCGTCTCTAGTTTTAGATTTTTTTATTGCATTTTTGTATTTAATCCTGAATCTAACTCGTTACAAAATCATGCAAACTGTACGGCTAGTGGGGGGATGTTTTTTATCTGGTTCAACAGAATAACTTAACACTATAAATCCTGCATTTGACTGTTTAAAGGTGCCATTTTTGGACAAATGGACGTGTTTTATGTGCCTCCTCGCTGCTCCATACATGAAAAAAACTGGTCGCAGTTAGTTTCTTCTCGTGTTGAGCGCAGGCGTCCCTTCCTTTGGCTCTACATTGATGCTCTCATGGTAGTAAGAGCATTTTATGAGATGTTTCAGTTCACGGTTTCTTCACCAATATGTTTGTAAAGTTGTGTAATAACCTGTTTTAAAATATTGACTCCTGTGGGAAACCCTGAAAAACACCTGCTCAAGTTAGGGTGCCAATAAATGATTGTCGAAAAATTTACTTTTTTAAATTGGGCCATGAGTAACTTATGAAAACCGACAGCTTTTCTCTCATCGTCTCACCGTCCCCCCAGGTTAAGAGTCTGGGTGTCATCCTTGACAGTACATTATCCTTCCAATCCCACATCAATGACACGACCAGGTCTGCCTACCTCCACCTACGTAACATCAGTCGCCCCACACTGCTGCCATCCTCGTCATGTTGTACCAAATTTCACACAATGTCGTATCTGGTCCATGATAAATGTCCTGGAAAACAGCAGCACCAGCCTGAATCACTGCCTCCTTGGTGGCTTCTGTGTCAAGGAAGATGTCCATGTACTCATCCATGTCCTCTCACAAAACCTGAAGAAATGCACCAGGGTTGTGTCAGGTATAAACAGAAATATACTTATTGTTATTAGTTTTAATATTTTTACTATGATGACAATAAAGATGGTGATGATGATTCTTATTATTATTATTATTTGCCGACCCTGTGAAGGTCAGACAGAAGAGCAGGTCTGTCTTTCGGAGAGAGACGTCGCGAGATGACGTCCGAAAGATTCAAGAATGTCTCTGTGAAAGACAAAAGGGCTTCCTGCTCTTCCATCAGACCTTCACAGGCTGTGATAGGCCTTCTGCAATTACTGGCCACGAGAACACAACTCTATTTCAAAAAGATAACACTGCTATTACTTCGCCATATAGCAACAATAATCATCGTCATCATCATTATTGTCATCAGAGTAAGAATAGAGTGAAATTTGGTGCAACGTGTTGTCAAGGAAGACGGTGTCAGGAGTGATCAAACCACAGCGTTCACTCTGAGCCCACCTGCAGACCAGGACTGGATCCTTCTACAGAGCAGGTCTCTGAAGCCCAGTGACTTTAACTTTAACTCAAAGAAAGGATGTTTATTATAAACAAAAGCAAACAATTTAACAAATAATAGTAATTATGGCGTGTGACTGTCAGTAGTATCAGCAATGTAGGTGTGAATGCGTGAACATGATGGGATGTGAGGTGTTGTGGAGCAGAAACAAAGCAAAAAGGTAACAGAAGGAAGACTTGTCACCACCAATGAAGCCGGGTCACAATGAATGAGAGGGATGGCTGAGATGTATGGGCCGTCCTGATGCCTTCAGGGACCCACGATGAACAGAATTCCAGGCCTCCATTGGACCGTCACATAATAAACTCAGAATTATGAAGAAAGTTACTGATGGCCTGATTTTAAAAAATAGGTTTTTCAACAATCTTTTATCGGTACCCGAACTTGAGCAGATTTTTTTTCTGGGTTTCCCATCGGAGTTGGACTTCAACAGATTACAGCATGTTATGACACACCTTTACAAACATGTTGGTGAAGAAGCTGTTTGGTAACGATTCACTTGGTAGATATTCATATGTTTCCCTAACTATGGACAAAATTAAGATCTTTACATAGGAAACATTCTCCTTCTGTATTGAGGAAGCCGACCGAGTAGCTCTTCGTCTGCTCTCCACACGTCCATTATCTTTAAATACAACATCACAGGCAGTTTCTCTGACCACTTGACGGCGTTCACAAGTCTTTGTATACGGCTTTTAAGTTTAAACACAGCAGTTGTTGCCCTCATTTCTAGCAATCTGAGGTCATGCAATCATCCTGAAGTGCCTTAAATAGCAGCTAGAGGTCTCACAATTGGCATGTTTCTCACCGCCACAGCGACGCTATCGGCTGATGCAAACAGAACCTGAAGGTTTAGTCGCTGCTGCCGCCCGATTGGCTGATTGGATAATTGTGTGACGAAGCAGGCGGACAGGTGTTCCTAATACGGTGCTCCGTGGATGCAGCAACTGTGTTTTTCCAACAGGACGCTTTTGATTCCATCTCAGAACGTCCTCGTCTTTCCCATCGTGCCTCAACATGCAGCTCCTCTGTTGTTCTCTGCAGATCAACGGGACGAGAGGCCTCAGATATCTCAACATCTCCCGTCCCCTATCACTACATCGCTGAGAGGCTTTTCTGGCAGGCATGGAAGCCATGATTTGTGATTATCATTCTTGTAATACTAGGGCATGAACACTCGCACTCGGTAGGCGTGATCTGTGAGAATCGCTAATGCTAACGTGCTACCATCAAAAGCCAACGAAGACAAACAGAAACACACTGAGGGTGGGTTAAAAACAACGAAACGTCAGACGAGGACCATGACTGAAACCAGGCAAGTCGACAGCAGGGAAACAAACTGGAGGCTGAACAGGACAAACTGGGAAACACAAGATTATTTATTCACGTAGAACTGACTGCGGAGGTGAAAGCGATGACGTTAATCAAAAGAGGAGGGAAACGTACTAAAGGCAGGAAGTAAAACAGCGGGAGACACACAGGGACGGGGGTCTTTTCACAATAAAACAGGAAACAGAGTTGTAATTAGTCAAAGACAGATCATAATAATTACTCTCACCTTCGTTTCTGCCGCTTGCAGCTCTCGGCGTGATTGGACAGGAGTTCCCGTCGAGCCCTCACGGCTGCACCGAGGGAAGCTGTTACCCGGCAACAGGGAACCTTCTGATTGGACGGGCCGTCAACCTGAGCGCCACGTCCACCTGCGGCCTGAACAGACCGGAGAACTACTGCATCGTCAGCCATCTGCAGGTCAGAACACTGAGTCAAGGAACGTTTTTGCTGTATTTAAGAATTCATAAAAGCAATTAGATGATGAGTTCCCGTTCACACCTTCCAGGAAAAGGCTAATTAGGCACCTTGTTTTGTCTCACATTCTGCACTGTGATTCACATTTGTTGCTCAACAGTTTCAATTTTTAGTCACCTGGAGAAATGAAAACTACGTGTGAAAAACAATTTTTAAAATGCACAACATACTTTGGAACTTATAAATATAAAACAAGTCAAATGCATTTAACCACCTAAAGTCATGAACTAGCTAAAGGACAAAATACGCTAAAAGTTTAGACAGATTCTCCTTCAAAACATCAATTTCACTTTTCTTTTTTTAATCAAACATGTCAGTGTTCCTGAGGTTGCTCTCAAAACATCTTCACATTCTTTAGTGGGAAAAAAAGAAAGTGAACCACAAATGTCTTCTTGTTTTATTTTGAAAAAGGTAAACCTTTCCAGGATAATTAATCTGGGTGTGGTTTGTGTGTCAGGGATGGTTTGTTTGTTCTCTCTTTCATGCATTGGTCTGTCCCTCATCCTTCACTCTGCACTACTTCATCTCCAATTGTTCATCCGTCCTGCCTGTTTGTAGCCTGGTTTCCATGAGCGAGGCCCCTCCAACGTTACACATCCCCCCCAGGTGTAGACACACAAGTCGGCCACACCTTCACACAAACTCCCTCCCTGCAGCTGTCACACTGTCTTTTGCACTTGCAGTTTTTTTTTTTGTGCAAACATCTGTCTGCCACTGTTTGCTCATTGGGGGATTATTAGGGAAGGTAGAAGAGTTACAACCAAGAATATGGCATAAAAACTGCAGCTCCAGGATCGCGCTGATACCAAGACGGCAGTCCTGAACCGCCTGGATTGGATTCCAGCCCACGGCCCTTTGCTGCATGATATCCCCTTTTTTCTCTTTCTTTTTAGCTGCTGCTATAAATTATAAATGTCACGTTGCATCAGGGTGTGGACAGGCTGCGTTTCAGATCAAATAATTTGTCTTTTTGCTTTAAGTTTGTGCTTTTTATTGCGTGCAAATGGGACGTCGTGACATTGCGCCGTTGCAGTCTCTGTTGCAAAATGAGCCGTCAGTGTCTTATTTCACGCTCAAATTCGGGTTTTCATGCAGTCTAAAAGCTGTTTTAATAATAGCGGTGAAAGGCCATAGAACCAGAAATCAATATGTACCTCATAACTACTGATCTCTTTGTCATTTTCTTTAGTATTAAACGTAATCCTGCTGATTCTTGTCAGTCCAGAGAAAACAAGATTGTTTACTGACCAGAGCCCGATGACTTTTCATGGTGCAGATTTTTCAAATTGTAAGTCAATGTGCTTTAAAAAAACAAAACAAAACACCATGTTGTTTGTGTCTTTGACATTTTACATTCTCCCGAGCTTCCTATTGTTTACACAGCCTTCGATTTTTAAGAGAAACTTCAGCAGACATGTCCCTGAAGTCTTTGTTTTACGTCAGCTATTCATTTTCAGATTTGAAGATGAAGTTCAAATGCAAATGTCGCTTTATTATTTGAATAGGATACACATTTATAATGTTATTTAGTCTTTAAAATGCTGTTTTGTGAGCAGATAAATGCATGTATGGTGACTATAACTAGCAGCAGAAAGACGTGCAGTAGTTTAGTTCCACAGAATGCAGTAACAGTCTCTCTTTCCACTTCTACAGTTTACAACTCTAGTTTTTCCATCTGTCCCCACATGACACGACTCCCCACATGTCCAACCCGTCGTCTTTGCATCCGTGCATGTATGTGCCTGCACTTCCATCGCCTCAGGGCAGGAATATTCACCGCTGACAGCTTCCAGGTGAACATGACTGACATTCTCTGACTGGCGAGAGGCCCTCTTGTTGCAGCAGAGAGGGGAAGGACGTGGTGACAAGCTGCCGCGCTGGAGGGCCCTCACAAAACATTTGTCTCTCAGCTTTTAAACGTCCAGACCTCCATCAATCATTCGTGTTTGACGTAGCCTCTCCAGGGTGGTGTTTTTGGTTTCTCGTGAGATCGGATTGCAGAGCTCTCACACGCAGATTTGAGCTGTTTGTCGCCGGAGAAGCACTCAAAGGGGTCCTGTGTATTCACCTGATAGCGTGGAAATGGAACTGTTGTTCAAAACAAAGTCAGAAGAACAGAAAAGCAAATGATGGCAACTAGAGGAAACTCAAAGTGCACAGGAAAAGGGAGGCGAGGAAAAGAGACGGCATGAATCAGTTTGGAAGGTAGAAAGGAAGCTGAATGAGGGAGGAGGGGTGCGCTCTTTACTTTCTTGTAAAGCCACCATCGTAGTGTGACAAAGAAGCGTTTTCAAATCTGCATCAGACTTACATCGGCGTATTGTCTGAGCAGAAAGCCTCCGAGTCGAGCTGACCAGGCTTGACTAATGGGAGATAAATGAGAGCTCAGAGGAGGGAGGGAGGGTCTTAAAGCCACACAAGTTAACACCGAGCACCGATGCAGCTTTACATGGGATAAACAGGAATCAGAAAGCTGTTTTTCTCACACGGACCTCAGGAAGAAACACTCTTGAGTTTGGATGTTGGGGAGCTAGTCTGAGAACACAATCAGGCTCTCTGACAGTCGCACCAGGATGGATGAGACGAGAAAACGGGCAGATTGTTGCCGGGATTAGCGACAGTAGGTGAAGAAGGCAAGCATGCGTGTAAGGAGAACACGTGTGGAAATGGGCGTGTGTGCGTGCACATGTGGTCGCGCACATCCACGCCGATGCCAGCACGCTTTCCTTTCAGCTCTCGGCCAAGTCGCCTTAACAGCCGCGTTGTTGTTCGCGGCTTAATCGCCCCTGACAACAACCTAATTAAGAAACGCTGGCCTGGAATCCACAGCTCCTCTCTGCCAGCTCGCCCTCATCTCCCCGTTCAGCCCCTCATCCCTCGACCTGCTCCCCTCTCCGGCGCTCCCTCTTCAGCCTCTCCCACCATCTCCCCAGCTCTCTGGCCTCCTTCTCCTTTGTCCTACGGTGCTGTTTGAAACCCCTCTCACCTGCGTCTTTCCCTTTTCAAGTCCACCATTTCCAAAGTGCACCCCTTCATTCACGCTCTTGACCTCGGTCCCCACATTCTTACATCATTCCCATGCTCTCTGCTCTCACGCCGCCTCGTCTGGGCCAGTTTTTCACCAACCAAGTGCATTTAATCTTAATTCCTCCTTTACCTGCTCCTTCCATTCGTGTCCTCTTAGAGAAAAATCACATGAATTGTTTAATATAAAACAGAGCACATGTGGAAAACATGCCTCCACAGGTTAGAACATCTGAAGCACATGTGGATTTTTTTTTTAAATATGTGGCCCCATGTCACAGATGCTGCACATTTCCTAAGTTTCATGTGTGGACCGTTTCTCCAGGTGCAACAGCCTAAAGGTAAGCGAGGGAAGCATAACTCAAGTAGGGGTGAAATACATACAGAGACCCAGGAGGAACCCATGAGATTAAATGTGGAACATTTCAGTCAGAACTACAGGTGAGCTGGACACCCAGGTGGCTCAACGGGTTGAGCAGGTGACCCATGAACTGGGGCTTTAGTCCTCAATGCAGCAGCCATGGGTTCGTCCTTCCAACACTCTTCTTCCTAATTTCCTGTCTTCCTCTCCACTCACCTGTCTAATAAAGCCAAAAGGCCAAAAAATATATATCAAAAAAGAATTCCAGGTGAGTCCAGTGAAGCTTGCTTTCACCTGTCCCCACTTGTGGCTCAGTTTGTAGAGCGAGTTGTCCTCTGAGTGCAAGGTTGTTGGTTTGACCTCCAGCCCCTCCACATGCCCAAGGTGGACCAGACACACATTGTAAAGCACTTTTAGTACCACTACGGTAGAAAGGTGCTATATAAGTGTAGACTATTTACCATTTCCCACAAATCGCGTCCCTCTGCAGCGGCCTGCAGGTGCATTGTGTTGTTGTGCATCCTGGTCTGATGTCATATGTCTACATGGGTCATGGGTACGTGGTTTAACCTTATTCAGGACTTTTGGTTTGGATGGCAGGTATTGTTGCTGTATCCACAGTTGTAACTGTGTGCATTGCAGACAACAGCAGGTTTCCTAATATAAAAAAAACCCCCAGCTATTCAGGGGGTTCTTGAAGTGTGATTAGCCTCGATTGTCACAACCTGAAATAGAGCAGATTTATTCTGTCAGGTCCAAGCTCCCCTGCAGCCAAGTTCACTGTATCTGAAATATCAGAAAAGCACTCAGCACATCCCCTGGATCTGGATCTGTGCTGCACCGCTGAGTTCACAAAGATAAAACCTGCTTCGTCTCGCTTTTGCCTTTTATCCTCGTTCCCCCATCTCGCCCACTGTCTTTCTTCTTCCCCCTCTTTTACGTGTTGCTTGCTTTGGTCTCCGTTCCTTTTCAATCTTTTAATCCAGTTGAGACACAATCCAGTCCCCTCTGGCTTTTTGTTCCAATGATATGAACACCCAGAGCCACAGAAGCCACGTTAACTCACATCAACAGACATGCAGCGCAACATCTAACGTGGCTATTGCACAACTAGTCCGTTCTTTTGTAATCTTCTGGTACCAACACGAGGGCAAAGAGCTCAAAAACAACCAGCCTGCTTGTTGTTTTCTTTAATATTTTCGTCCGTAATCGAGCGAGTTTTCTGCTTCTCTAGGAGTCGGACAAGTGTTTCGAGTGTAACTCCCAGCACCGCTACGACCCGTACCGCCACCGAAACAGCCACCGCATCGAAAACGTGATCTACCTCATGGACAGGAACGGAGAGCACACCTGGTGGCAGTCCGTCAACGGTATGTACACACACTGTCTAACCAAACAGGAACATGGTCGGCGTGGTCGTCGTGCCGATTGACTCTGTTGTGCATGTTTGTTCCGTGTTTTTTTTTTTAAAGGTTGATGGTAAAGACACGCCTTTTAAGGGCATTTTGTATACTGATGCAGTAAGTGTTGTGAAATCTGGCCTCACAGGAACAATGACAGACTGTTATATTACCTGGAGAAAGAAAAGGAAACCAAGGTCTCCGACTGTCATTCCAGCTGAGTGCGACTTGAGCAAACACTACACAAGTTGTGCTTTTACCGCATTAAATTACGGTTTTCTCCTCCACAGGGCAGGAGAACGTCAGCATCCGCCTGAACCTGGAGGCCGAATTCCACTTCACACATCTCATCATGAAGTTCAAGGTAGGTCTTGTGTGACATCTTCAGAATAGGTCTGCAAACACACACAATGCTGTTTGCAGACCTGTGGTGGAAATACAGTGCTGTATGTGCTTCAACATGTCAGGGGGGACATACCTGTCTAGGTGTGTGTTTGTTATGTACACTCAGAAATCTGGTGGCTGCATTCCATCAGGCCCTTATCTGTTGGTTGAGCAAACATTAAACAAAAGCTTTAGATGAATCAGTCAGACGAAGATATGGATTGATGTGGCCTCTTTCTTTCTTTCTTTCTTTCTTTCTTTGCCTCTTCAGACTTTCCGACCTGCAGCGATGATCATTGAGCGTTCGGCTGATTTCGGCCGTACGTGGCGCCCCTATCGCTACTTCGCCTCCAACTGTACGAGGACTTTTCCCGGCATCGCTGCCAACGGCCTGCAGCACATCAACGACATCATCTGCGAGGAACGCTACTCCGACATCGAGCCCTCCACTAATGGGGAGGTGAGGAGCTGACAAAGTACCAGTAGCAGGAACACAAGAGGCCTGTTGAGGCATAAGGCTCAGTGCTTTTCACATTTCTTACCATCTCTGTGGCTCCAAACTCACAAATCCCAACTGAAGGCGTGGATCTGATGAAAAACGTCCATTTGTAAAGACGGTGTAATATCATGTCAGTCTTGAGTTTCCAATTACTGCTATGACTCAGAATGAAATCACTGAAACACAGACGACTTTGTCACAAAAAACAGTCGTGTGTTTGGTTCTGTCATAGAGGCATTAAAGGTCTTCTGGAAATATGACAGAATCTACTGGGTCAAACATATACAAAAATATAAAAGCCATTTTCACCCAAGTTAGTTGCTTTGGTTTCCGTCCATAAGCTTCTGGTTGTATTTTTGGCCACTGCTCTCGACAGAATTGGTGCAATTCAACTAAATTAGTTGTTTTTCTTACACAGACTTGTTTCTTCATCAGCACACAGCAGGGGCCGATTAAGGATTGAAGAAGATTGGTGCTTTTTTAGCAAACCAGCAGAGTAACGTCGACCATTTCTCAAATTACATTCACAAATTTGAATCATCACCTGTTTCATCACAGCTGGTGTTGTTGTTGTTCTGTCGCGGTACTTTTTGTCTAAAAAAAACTTCCTAATATTCATGTTTAGTTCAGTCTTCCCATGCGTGTGGCTCAGGCAGGCTGTGTTTAGGCTACTTTGTGCAGCTGCTGCCTCTCTGTTGGACTCTAGTACTGCACGTTACTTCCAGCAGGATTTTTTTTCCCCCCTCAAAAGTAAAATTCAGGTTTGGGGCTTTTCAGAAAACATTCGGGGCTTGAGCCCAAGTAGCTACCCCCTAGCCCCGCCCCTGGTCCACAGGTTCTTATTGGGTTTAAGTCAGGACCCTGGGGAGACCAGTCCAAAACCTTCATTCTAGCCCTATATAACCATTTTGTACCACTTTTGATGTGTTTGAGCTCATTATCTTGTTGAAACATCCAACTGTGTCCAAGATCAACCTTCTGCTGATGATGTCAGGTTTTCCTGAAGAACTTGGAGGTATCCTCCTAGAAATCCTTCTATTTACTTTGTGTAAAGCTCAGTTTCCACTGGCAGCAAAACAGCTCAGAGCATGATGCTGCCACCACCATGCTTGATGATATGATTGCCGTTTGACCACAGAATTTTCCCCCAGGACTTTTCTTTGTCAATTGATTTTTATGACAAAGATGGAAATGTTTGAGTGATTCAATGAGGTATAGGAGTCACTGGAAACTCAAGACTGCCATAATACACATAGTATTTACAAGTGTGTGTAAATACTATGTGTATTCACAACTGTAGTTTCACTTTTATAAACAGTTTCATTATTTCTAAGAACCCAGAAGCAGTGTACAGTGAAGCAAGCGTACCTCATATCTGAGTTAATATTCATTTATTGTGGCCAGTTTCCAGGACAGCTGTCGCAGGAGCTATAGTGTGGGTGTTCATAGTAATGCAGCAACAGTGAAGCACACTGGTGTGCTTTTGGAGGTCCTTGGAGTTATTTTCATGGTATTTGTTAAGAAGATATGAAATACATAATATCACCAGACCTTTCCTTATATGTACACCTGTGGATTCTTAAAGGATGATAAGTCTTAATTGTACAGCATGTTTCATACCCTGGGAGAGTGCTTTGCAGCATAATACAAGCATAGCAAGGGACACAGATTTGAATTGTTAAATAAAGAAACCAAACGATGATATAAAACTGGCCTTGCAGGCACTACAGGGTAGAGTAGGCGGCGTAGAAAAGATTTCAGTTTTGACTTGAGAATAGTCGGAGCTCAGCAAACGTCAACCGGGAGGTTATTATAAGTCTGTGCTGCATGAAAACAAAACACTGCTTCTCCGTGTTTTGTTCTCACTCTTCTCCAGGTGTCCTCAGAGTCCGAGAAAGTTCTCAGTAGTTAATGTACAAATGGGATGTCCTGTTTTGAAAACCTCATGAAGAGACCATTGTGGTAATCTAGTCTAATGGAAATAAAGGAACATTTCAAGGTTCTGCTTTGACACTGTTCCTCTGATTCTGGCGATGTTTTTCAAATGGTAGAAAGCCAAGGACGTCTTTAGTTTAATGTGGCTGTTAAAATCCAGGATGACGCTAAGATTTCTTGCTTGACTCTTAGTTATAAGAGATGGGTTCAAGATGAGAATATTTATTCATCCCAAACACAAGTATATCAGCCTTGTCCTTATTTAGTTGGAGAAGATTTTGTGGCATCCAGTTATTGACGTGCTCAACACAGCGACGCAGAGACCCAATGGGTCCATAACTGCCTATATGTATAGTTGTGTGTCGTCTGCGTAATTGTGATCGGCTGATTTATTGGTTTGTATTATTTGGCCTAATGGGAGCAGATACAGCTTGAACTGTCATGACGATATGATTAGAACCCATCAGTGACAGTTCCAAAGAGTCCTACCTGGTTTTCTAATCTTTGAGTTTTGGGGTCCGTTGTGTCTAAGGCAGCGCTTAGGTCCAGCAGAACCAGAACAGGGACTTAGCTTGAGTCACTTGTAAAGTGAATGTCTCTGTGAGTGCTGTGATGGGGCCGAAATGTGAAAAAGTGAAAAGAAATAGGATTTCTATGTGAATTTCTCTCGTTAAAAAAAGTGTCTTTCCTACATTCAAGGTCATTTATAAGGTCTTGGATCCTGCCATTCACGTAAAAGACCCGTACAGCCTGGACATTCAAGGTCAGTATAACTGTCGTGAGCAGTACGGCAGCCGTTATTTTATGTTTCACCTCGACTTTTATTGTCATATTCTGTTCAAGACTGTGCTCAGGAGGAATTTGAGACAGTAAATGCAAAAAAATAAAAATAAAAAATACTTCTGTCCTCTGAGACAATGAGCAGAATAAAACTCAAGCTTTCCCTTCTCTTATACCTCATTTTCAGCCGCTGTTAACATGTGATTTGTACCTAGTTAACCTATCTGAATTAATGAAAAATTTGCATAAATGCAGCCGGACACAACGTGATTGGAATGCAATTAATTTAGAAAAAAGGCACCAAACTCCTGCTGCAAACCCAATAAAACCTACAGATAGCAGCAGTAAAATAAACTTAGCATTAAAAAATACCTGGAGCCTGTACAGCAGCATGGTTTCCCTTCACCTGGGATGCACCGTATTTGTTGAAAAGTCAAATATTAGGCACAAATTAGTGACGAGAACATGTTTTAATACCGATTGTAGCTGCAGAGACCTTTGGATTTGATGTCAGTATCCAGATAAAGTTTCTACGTACAGCTCAGATGTCATTAACAGGTGTCAGTCGGACGTCTTTGTTGGTTGAATCACAAATTCCCCAGAATTCTCCATCAACCTTTATATTCTGATATATCATTAACATATCTTTTTAGTTTGTACTTTTTCCAATCAAGACAAAAAAACTGTTTGCTTGCTACTCAGATTTCAGTCTAGTCATGGCATGGCCCGATGTTGCGTTTACGTTTTTCTGTCCTTCGCAGAACTTCTTCGCATCACCAACCTGCGCATCAACTTCACGAAGCTCAACACTCTGGGCGACGACCTGCTGGACCGACGCTCCGACGTCCTGCAGAAGTACTACTACGCCATCTACGAGCTGGTGGTCAGGGGCAGCTGCTTCTGTTACGGTCACGCCTCGGAGTGCGCTCCGGTGCCGGGGGTGGACGCCCGGGAGACCGGCATGGTGAGTTAACACCAGAACAGTATGTGAGGAGTTAAGTGCCAAAGAAGGCCGAACCACAAAAAATCCAAAGTTGAGTTTGAAGTGTTTATGGTCGACTTGTTCGTGGCAAAGTGGTCCAACCAACAGCCCACGAGTAATGTGACAATGCCGCTTTGAAGTTTGGCCCATAGTGGTTTTGGCATGAACATTTAGTGGCCAACTGGGCCAAGCCACAAGAACCGCTGACCGTTATATCGCAGGTAGTTGCAACGTGTTAGCGATTCAAGATGGCGGACAGCGCAGCCTCAAGCCCCGTGAAAACTCAGCTCGAAGGTATGGTAAGATAAAATAAAAACCTAATTAACCACCACCAATTCTACGGTTTGACGGTAAAACAGACTTGCTTTGACGTTCTGTGTAGAACCTCGGTGGTCTCTGAAGTGACGCCAGCGTGGCTGAAGTTGATGGAAGTCATCGTCCATCACACTGAGTAGTTTCTTCAACAGTCTGCAGCAGGGCTTTAAAAACAAACCTTTCTTGTCCATTCTGTTAGACAGAACAATAAGTTGAGCTCATCAGGTTTGTTCAGGACACATTGCCACTGAAAATGTCCACGTTAACCTCACCGTTACTTTCTCGCTTCTCATTGGTCAGATCCACGGTCGCTGCGTCTGCAAACACAACACCGAGGGCCTGAACTGCGAGCGCTGCAGAGCTTTCCATCACGACCTGCCGTGGAGGCCAGCGGAGGCGGAGAACCCTCACACCTGCAGAGGTAGAACACACAAACGCTGCCTCAGGAAATCTACCAGATACGAGTTTGTTCTAAAACTGCTGCCTGTTTATGAAAGTAGTTTTTGCAATAATTGAGGTAAGAAGGTAAAAAGTTCTTAATAAATACCTGTAGACATCAGCCAGAGGAACAAGTGTATAAACAACTAATACGACTTTTCTTTCAAAAAATTAATCTGTTCATTTATTCATTCAACCTTTATTTAACTGAGTACTTTGACATATGAAGGACTCATTTATAACGAGCAAGATAAAGATAAAGATAAAGAGACTTTATTGTCATTGTGCAGAAGTACAACGAAACTTGTGTGGAAGAACACGACAATAGCAGCAGTGCAAATAAGAATAAAAATAAGAATACTAGAAATAAAAATAATTTAAACAAAGTACTATATACACAAAGCATTATATACAATAAAGTGAAAAGACGATAGAAGTTGTCGGCTCACAGATAATAAGCTTTAGATAGCAATGAGATATTAAAAGACAGTAAGCAAACTGAAAAAAACATTAATTAAAACATTCAATTGTTTTAAATGATTGTGGTAATTACCAGTGCTGTTAGTTTAGGGCAGCTGTGGCATGAACCTGACATCGAGTCGTGGTCTGACATCTTTGTTGAGCTCTGTTTGATGATTGGTTACCCTGAATTATGTCTTCGTAGTACCTCAAGATAATATTCCCGTGTTGATGTGTTCTTTTGTTTCATCCCGTTCCTCCAGAGTGTAACTGCAACGGCCACTCCAGCCAGTGCCACTTCGACATGGCGGTGTATCTGGCCACCGGGAACGCCAGCGGGGGAGTTTGCGACGACTGTCTGCACAACACGATGGGACGCAACTGTGAGATGTGCAAACCGTTCTACTTCCAGGACCCCAACAGGGACATCCGGGACCCGCGGGTTTGTGTCGGTGAGTCGGTCGCTGCAACGGTTGAGAAGATTTTTTATTTTTTTTGATTCTTTGCTGACGCTCTACGTCTGACGTCCAGCCTGCGACTGCGACCCGGTGGGATCCCTGGAGGGCGGCGTGTGCGACAGTCACACCGACCTGGACATGGGGATGATCGGCGGTCAGTGTCGCTGCAAAGCCAACGTGAAGGGAACCCGCTGCGACGACTGCAAGGAAGGTTACTACGGACTGAGCCAGAACGACCCGCTCGGTTGCCAGCGTACGTTTGTGTTTCCGTACTTTGTGTTTGAACAGGGAGGAATTTTAGAAAGTTAAAACTCTCCTCAGTGCAAACAGGACCAAATATAAGATCTTCTTGAGAGCCAGAAAAATGTAACGTAATTGAAATAACTGCGTTGAACTGTGTTTATTGTTTGTTTTCCTTTTGAATGTTACCTATTTATTCGCTTGCTTGCACTCCTGACTCATCCATTCCTTAAGATTTAAATGCACGCGTTCAAGGTCTGTAAAATGTGCGCGTTTCTCCGTCAGCGTGCAACTGTGACCCTCGTGGCATCATCATGATGGGAGCTCCTTGTGATCAGATCAGCGGCGACTGCTCCTGCAAACGATACGTGACTGGGCGCTACTGCAGCCAGTGTTTGGTCAGTAAACAGCTGCTCTTCTTAAACATCAAGACTGTTCAGATGCATTTGTAACCGCACTTGTCAGACTGTTTAAAATTCCACTTGAAGGTCCATTGCGAGGAAACTTTAGTTATTTTTTTAAAATTATGTAATGCTAAGAAAGCAGTTGTAGCACCAGGAACATCACCTGATTTCTGAACTTACTGCTGAAGTAGTGACTCAGCTTTCTTCTTATTAGTGAAGGCTGTGAAAAAGTCCCCAAATCTTAAGAAATACTTCTCAAGGTACAAACTAGACAGTAAACAAGCCTTTGTACGTCTTGTGTTTGCAGCCCGAGTACTGGGGGCTCAGTAACGACCTGGCCGGCTGCAGACCTTGTGACTGTGACTTCGGTGGCGCCTTCAACAACAGGTAAAGATCTGCTTTAATTTACTTTCGATGCAGAAAACCTGCTGTGAATCATTCGCTCTGTTTCCTGAATGAGTCCAAGCAGCAGAGACGAGGACAGAAAAAGAAAATGTCAGTTTCAAGCAGGCATTAAAACGTTGTTCTGTCTTTTTTTTTTTTTCTAAGATGCATGATGGAAAGCGGCCAGTGTGACTGCAGGAGGCACCTAATTGGTCGGCAGTGTTCGGATGTGCAGCCGGGGTTTTACTGTGCTCCGCTGGACTACTACAAGTACGAGGCTGAGGACGCCACCGGACACTCTCCCAGCGACTCTGCACTGCCGGTGAGCTCAGCAGGAGCATCCAGTGTAACCCGTTAGTTTATAATTTGCAGTTCAAGGTGCTGCTGAGAAGATGAAACATAAATAGGCACATTTTACTTCGTCAGAGTCTGGCGCAAAGTCTTGAAGGCATCCAACAAATACAACGTTAGAACAGTCATTGTGTCTTTTACTGCCAAGAGTTGGATGAGAAGACGCTGAGGTCTAAAGTTCTGGACCTCAGGATGGGATGTTTTCTGCTCTTCTTTAGGAAGTTTTAAGCAGAAAACTCTTCATTTTCTGCATTTTGGTGATTTTTTATGCACCAATTTGTGCCTTTTCTGCATTGTTTCATGGTAGAAATGTCACAAAAACACAAACAGGTGCTTTAATGTTGATGAATCAGAGTCCAGTTCTGTCAGATGTTGACTCCTCCTTTCGTGTTGTTCCTCGCTGTGGCCTCATTTATTGCTGCAATGCAAAGTCCAGCACAACCACGACAAGTCCAATGATATAAGTTATTAAAGAGACAAACAACTAATTTGAAAGTTTTTGCTTACCGTAATTTCCGGACTATTGAGGCACCTGAATTGTCTATAAGCTGCAGGTGTCCACGTTGTAACATGAGATATTTACACAGAAAGATTTCTTTAACTTTTCATTAAATACGTACCGATAACATACACAAATACCATAAATGCTTTTTTCTGAACAGTGTCTGTAACACAGCTGGTACAGCAGCCTACCAGGAAAAGTCATTGATCGCGATCTTCATCTTCCTCCTGCACTAAAACCACTAAAGTCGTCTTCTTCAGCCTCAGAATCACTTCGTCACTTCCTCAGTCTCTCTGTCGCTCTCAATGTCACTTTCGTCTCAAGGCAAATTCGTAAAACTCGTATAAATCCATAAATTATCCGCAGTGTTCAAAGCTTGTGAAAAAAGTAGCAGCTTATAGTCCGTAAATTACGGTAATTATTTTACATAAATGGAAAAAAAAAAATGTTTTCGCAGTCTCACTGAGAAGTTCGTAATTATTCTTATTATTTTTTACTAAATCTGATGAATGCATATGAATATTTTTGGCTCATTTTAAAGTCAGACTCGTAGAAGGAAAGTGATTCTGATGACCTGGATTTAGAGTCGAGCTTTGGTTTTCCAGATGGGAGTGCATGAAGACTCTCGTGTTCACTCTTGCAGCCAACAGCAGAACACTTGGTGAGCTCTGGTCGTAGCGTTTAGCAGAATCAGCTCCAGAAAGTGAACAAACATGGAGGGTCATCAGGAAGCAGCAGGTGTTGATGAGGACAGGAGGTTTAGGAGGACGACTGTTGGTTCGTCAGTGGAGAGGTAGAACGTTTTTGCTGGATTGTGAAGTTGTGAGTCTGTCCAGTCTTTGCTGCAGTGATAAAAACTGATCATGATGTCCATGGAAGCTGTGACCTGTGTGATTTAACTGTTTTCCTCAGAAAGTGAGCACAAGGAAGTCTAAACAGCATTAACTGAAGGTCAGACCTTCTTCTGTCTGTCTGTCGTTTGTGTTTTATACAAACTGCACAGCTCCTGACTGAACGATCTGCTGTTTTGACTCCAGTGAGGTCGTCTTTGTGACGACCTCGTGTGATTTGAAAGGCTGCGCTTGGAACCAGTGGAGATAAATCAGCTTAGAGAAGGTCACGATCGTCCCTCAGCCCTGTGCTGCTCTTAAAGCTGCTTTTTATTTACAAATGTCCTGCGCAATGAGAAAAAGTTCTCCAGATGTTATGAAGTGTTTTTATAATTTGATGTATTAACAAAGGTGGAACTGAGGGTTTTTTTGGGGCTTTTTTTGGGGGAACGTTTTTCATTCGGCTTTTGGGGGACGGTTTTGGGAGGACCTTTTTTAACGTTTTTTTTGTTGCCTTTTTTTTAGAATCTTTGCAGACTTTGTTCTGTCTTTAAGAAGAACATTCTGGGAACTTAGAGAAAACTTCCCATGACTAGAACTGTGCAGAACTTCTACAACGATAATGTTTTACGACTCAAACCAGTAAACAGACGTTTACTAAACAGCACGGCACTCATTTCTGTTAATTTCCCCTCTGAGCTCCCGTCGTGCAGCCTGCCACCGACTCATCTCCGTCCTGCATCACAGGGAATCCAGAACAGTTCAACAGAATCTCTTTATCATCTCCGGCTCTCCTACATTCACTCCCTCAGGCTCCTTCTCTGCTTTCCACCCACTTCCATCCTCTTCGCTCTTCAGAGACCCACCATGTCACACACTTCCTCATTTAACCCTCCAGGCAAGCTCAGACAGTCCACACTTACAACATCTCTGCTGCAGGAATGCCGGGAAAACTGACTTCAGCCACTCTGGAATGTTATGAGAAGACACAGGCAGTAGTGCAAGACCCTAACCAGGTGGAAGTGTGTCTTTGTGCACACGGGGGGCTTCAGATGGTGGTTTGTTTTACCGATGCCGGGTCGCTGGGTGGGTTTGGAAAAGAGCAGGATACAGTTAAAAGCCCTGTGCCGAATTCTGAACCTGCGCGGCTGAAATGACCCATAAAACGACCAGACAGTAGCGCAGATACCAACCCGTCACAACCAATTATTGCTGTTCGGCACACAGAACTCCAAACACTCAGCCTTTGTTTCTGCCCGCTACACTCCAGAAGCTTCGGCCCAGCGTGAGCCTTCCTGCTCTCTGCTGTTCATTTCCCTTTCAGAAGCAGAAAAGATGAACGAGATGTGAGAATCCGAAGAGACGTTTCTGCACAAATGTTTTCTAAACACATCCTCTCGTTTCTCAGGGTAAAGTTCGTCCTCAGGCCACCAACGACTGCGTCGAGCATCTCAGCAACCAGCTGAGGAGACACCGGAGGCACCGTCGCATCACCAACTCGCAGCAGCACCAGGCGGCGCTGAGACGCATCCGCCAGCTTCAACAAACTGTACGAATGGTTCTTTGATTTGCTCGTAATTTGTCAAAACTCGCATGAATCCAAGTCGCAGTATGATATGTTCAGAACAGTTGTTTCCGAAAACAGCTGTAGGTAATAGTTAGGCCCTGAAATGAAGCAACATCTTCTATAAATCCATCACATGGAGCGGTGTCTCTGCTATTTAGCCTCCCGTCATTGATTTAGAATAATAGATAAGAGAATAATAGGAGCACCAGTTAGTTTAAAGCAGCACAGTTTAAAAGAATCACAAACTTTAGCCTCCATAATGACTCTAAAGGGGTCAGTCCATCTCAAATTATTGGGTTTTTAAAACATCTTCTGCTCAACTGTCTCAGATTTGCCTGAATTAGCTGAACACACCACATACTTTCCAAGATATATATTTTTGAAGACATTGCACATATTTAAAATTTGAGGCTGTTTGAACGACAATACGTCAGGAACTGTGCACGTGTCGAGAAGATACAGGAGGGACGCAGGAATCCCACGACAGCCGAACAGGTGGCAGCAGCAGAGCAGGACGTAGAAGAGACGAGGAAGCTGCAGATGTGGCTTCTAGAGACAAAGAGAAATCAGGGAGGGGATCTCGAAAAATCTTTCATTATCTACGCTGGAGGCACCTGGCCGAGCTTTCTCCATAAGTGACAGGGATCACCCGCCTGCTGTTGAAATGTTTCGATATTGGATTCATACTAAAAATTCAGTGACAGACTCATGAATGGCCATCGTAATGCTCATATCTTAAAAATAAGTATCTGAAATCTCCTCCTGGGCAATTAAAAAAAAAAAAGGAACTGTTTAAGATAAAGGCCTGACATCTTCACTGTTATTTGTCATCATGCCATTGATTTAGAATCTGCAATACTCATCAAATAGTTTGTGATTATGGGCGAGCAGAAATATAAGAAAGTGGAGCCGTCATGAAAAGTCGTAACATTAACAAAACAACTAATTGTGTAGAAGTCAGCTGGTGATGTTTTCTGAACCACATGTGGCTGCAGGTCACAATAATACACATATAAAATCGTTTTAATAAGAAATACGTGGTCAAAAATCATTCAACTTTCAGAACTGATTGAACAAGTTGTACCACAAAAACAAAGATATTTGTAGATCGTGTGAACCAAATTGTTGTTTTTTTTTTTAATATGGGCATATTTTCCATTTCCATTTCAAACAGAGCGGACTATTACTGTCTATTATTCTTGTTGAATCCGTTTTTATTGACAGAGATGCTTGAAAGTAAACTCTTCAGTTCTCACATTTTTTGCACAGATTCCAGCCGTGGTTGTTACCAACGGAGCAGAAAGCCAGAGAATCCGTTCCGATCCTTGCTGTGCAGATGTTTAAAATGTTTTGCGGAAGAAGAATCAATGACATGCTGAGAAATAATAGAGGAAATTTCAGCCTTTTATCTTTAATAGTTCCTGAGATTTTCTTGTTCAAACAGCCTCAAATTTCAACGTGAGAAAAAAAAAAAAAGTGCCGGAAGTGAGTCGACGGGCAACTTTTAAATATCGTTTTTATCTCGGAAAGTATTTGATATATCAGTCTAACATTTCACAGAGACTATTTTAAATATTTGTCGTTTATGATTTAAAAAAAACCCCACCTACAGTTGACTCAACACTTCTCTGAGACAGAACAAAAACTGAAGATTATAACGTGCATTTGACTGCATTAGTTTTAGCTCGGTTCACCTAATTACCTGCAGACTAAGTTAAAAGCTGTAGAAACTGAAATGATTTTTAGGGATGTAAGCTGGTGGTAGAAGTGAAATGAATCCAGTCGTTGAGGGTGAAAACCGGCTCGTTTCCGTGTCCAGAACCAAACCTGTGAACTCGTATCGCTGTAGAGGTCTGTGGTCATGTGCAGCCAGCAGCGCCTGGCATGTGGACGCCACTTCGCCTAATTAAACGCTCGGCTGTCGAGTTAATTACGTCAGTGTGAACTGGTCAACCTGAAACAGAGCGCAGGGATTTCTGGACTCCAGTCAAGACCACCAGAACAGAGACCCGATGGAGCCGAGTCCTGGTCGGGAAGCGACTTTAAATGAACGCGTGTCAAAAACCAAAGAGAGCTTTGTTTTTGTTCAAGTTCTCGAGTGTTTTGGGAACATTAAGGTGGTCCTGTAGCTGTTACAATCCAAAAACTTCAGAGCTTTAAATGTACATGATGGTTATTTATCACCATGAACTACTGAATGTGAGTTCACAGCAAAACTGATAGAATGGCAGTTTAAGGTTAGATTCAGGTCGTCAATCTGAAATAGACACTGAAGGACAAACGGACGCTCCATCAAGTTTAATCGCTGCAGTCTTTGAATTTAAATGATTTTCTGGTTAACTGAGCAGCTCGAGTCTTTATAAAAGCCGACACACCGTCGACCTGAGCGGTGAAGTCATTGTTGATGTTTCTGCCTCCTGCAGCCGGATGTGAGGCCGGTTCATCGGGAACACACTCCCAGCCACATGGTGACCTGGACCGGACCCGGCTTCGCCCGCGTCAAAGACGGCGCCGGCCTGGTGTTCACCATCGACAACATCCCCTACGCCATGGAGTACGACATCATGATCCGCTACGAGCCCGAGGTGCACCAGTGTGACCACGATGACCAATAAAGCTGAAGCAGCACTCGGCCGTTTGAGCTAATCTTTGCCTGTGTGTGTGTGTTCAGTCCACAGAGGACTGGGAGGCTGTGGTCAGCATCACCTCCGTCCTGCTGCCCTCCAGCCTCCGCTGTGGGAACCTCCTGCCCACCGAGCAGCTCTACACCGTCACCCTGCCGCACCGCAACAGGTACCCGAACATGCACACGTGTTTTTAAATCTGATCAGGGGTCCGTCTGCAGCCGGTGTGTTTGCTCAAGTCGCTGCAGGATTTGTTTGAGCGTCCCGGGTAGCTTAAGAAAAGTTGCATCATGTCATTGTTGTAACCTGAACGTGTCGCGGCTTGTGAGCGCCGCGTGAGTCACACCTGTATTCTCATTTCCCTTTAGCCTGCAGCGTTTTGTTTTATTATTGTTTCACCGAATATAAAGTAGAAAGGCTTTGAATCAGGTTCAGGAAGGAAGCAGGTTTGTTTACAGAAGTTTAGATGTAGAGAAGTTGTACCGCGTCTACCAACACTTCTGTGGTAGAACTCATCAGTTATGAAACAAACATAACCTTCTTTTCATGATTACAACCAAGTGCTTCGTATGAACAAGTGTTCTGTGTGTGTGTGCAGCTGCATGTGATTAGAAAACATCCAGAGAAAACTTGCAATTTGTTCATTGAACTTCCTTCAATCAGTTTGGATTAAGAAGTTGAACCAGAGAGCTGTTTGAAGTTTGTCCAACATAAGATAACTACACAAGTAAATCTGTAAAATGTAGTGTAATCGAACACAACTCCTCTTCATGTTCAGTTTTTATTAACGTTGTCAGGAAGGTGGTTTATGTAGCGCCCTGGTGGGTGGTGGTGGTTCGCTGGATTAGCCGGATTTAACAGTGTTCCTAATATTGTGCTTCCATGATGGATGTTAATGTAGATGCAGGAACCACCCGTCATGATGTAGCATAAAGCAGAATCATCACCTTTTTCTACACAAACAGAAACTATAGAAGCTTGGTAGAAGTTATGGCAGAGCTCTTGTTGGATGTCACAGGCGTTCCTAATAAAGTGGCCATGTCAAATGATATATGAAGGTATTTATAGTCTATATAAAACATGATTGCACTACTTATTGGTGAATTAAAATACTTAATATATTGGGTTATTTAGCTTTTTTGGAATATATTTGCAACTTAAAATTATGCTAGGAGGACATTTCTTTAGCTGTATTTTTACTTTCAGTTTGACTTTGCTCGAGTTTGCTTCGTATGTTTTCATACGTCGGCACCTCGTACGTACTTCTTGCGTTGCTTTAAGCTTTACTTTTAGGCAGCTTTAGGTACTGTTTTTATAGTTCCTCATATATCAAATAAAGCATCTTTAAAGAATAATCTATCCCACTGTTTTCACAAATAACCTGCATACACTATTTTTTCCCCTATTAGATTTTCTGTTTTTAATTTGCAAGTTTATTTTATTGCGCTTTTAGAAAAATATCTGATTGTGTGAATGCTCTGACAGGATTGCAGCTTGCTTTTGTTGCTCACCACAATGACAACAAAAGGGATTTGATTAAGTTTCCTGCCTCTTTTAAAGATCACAGACATTGGAGATAATTGATGTTCTGCCACGAATGTCACTCATAACTGAGAGATTTCACACAAACACGTCCTCCATCGCTGGATAGACTGAAAAATATAACCCAGACAGAAATTAATCACGCTGACATTCAGGGAAATAACGTAAATAAAGAAAATATAAAACATGACAAACAGAACTTGACTGAACTTGATTTAATCTTTAATTGGGACTAATACAGTTTTTATTAGCTGTGCATCTGAAAACACAAAACCAATGGGGAACATGTTAAAAACTAAACTTGATCATTCTGGCATGAAAGCATGTACAAAAAAATGCACAAGACCAAACACACAACAACAGCTTGACAGTAAAATGACCATCAGCTTGAAGATATCTAAAGATTATTTACATAGGTTTGTGCTGCATAACGGCTCTATTTTCGTCTCTAAATTGAGTTTAGTGTCGACTGTTCTCGCTGTCCTTCTTCTGCAGGCTTGTTAACAGCTAATAATGATAAACAAAGCCTCAAATTAAATGATCAACGTGTGATATTTACCTCGTATTCATCTGTCAACATGAAAAAACACACAGCACTGTCATGGCTTCACCGCTTTAGGCCGATTACTGCAGCTCAGGCCCGATTACGTGTTAATTATCCCTTCATCCCTGTAGAGAAATAAGGAAACATAAACAGGACATAAGATGAAAAGCTGAGAAAGCCCAGCAGTGGAGCTGTTTAGTTTTAACCTGCTGAGAAGCCTTTCAGAGTCTGAACTCATCTGGAACTAAGAGGGCCGACCCGGGCCGGATCTGCTCCTCTCAGCGGACCGTGCACAGCTTCCGTTCAGCGCTGTGGTCGCTTCATCGGCCAAAGCCAATTAGCAAAGTGAAACCAACACACACACACACGCAAGAACTGAATCTAAACGCAGGTTTTAATATCGAGTCACTTCTGGGCAACAGTGGTTGGTCTAGAAACCAGCAGCAGGTTACGTATGAAAGTCGGACATAACCTGAACCAGAAAGTTATAAAAATCAGTAAAGATGAAGCAGGAATTCTCATTTCTATTGTTTTTTTGTGTACTTAAATATATATAGATATGTTTGTCTATAGCCGGTTCATGTCCTGGTGGGGGCACCTGGATCTTTCTGTGTGGAGTCTCCATGTTCTCCCCGTGCAGCGTGGGTTCTCTCCGGGTTCTCCGGCTTCCTCCCATAGTCCAGAAACATGTTGAGGTTAATTGGTGATTGTAAATTGTCCGTAGGTGTGAATGTGAGTGTGCTTGGTTGTCTGTCTCTAAGTGTAGCCCTGTGATAGACTGGTTACCTGTCCAGGTGAACCTGCCTTCACCCTGAGTCAGCTGGGATAGACTCCAGCCCCCCATGACCCTACTGAGGATTAAGGTGTAGAGATGATGGATGGATGTTTGTCTATAATAAATATACAAAAAACATTCAAACTGAATAAAAAAAAAAGTCAAATGTATTCTCTGAACCTCCAAAAGGCCCATTTATCACAGCCTGAAACTAAAAACAGTAAAATTTGTTTGAACGGTTCTTAAACTACTCGCCTGAGATGCGCTTTCCTGTCGGGAAGCTAATCTACATATTTCATTCAAATTACCTTCGTCTATGTCTCATTTAAACATTTGCAAAAACTATGTCTTTGCTGGTTTTAGAGGAAAAAACTAACAAATACTGCAAGTTTTGGTAAGTTGTTCCACCGTAACAGGAAGTATAGCAGCGACTCAGCAGCATGCAGTTATAAATACACATTAACATACACTCTGGCTGATTAACTGGTTGACGTTACAGTGACCTACATGTACACAAACACACATTTTCACAAGTTGCATTCAAACCGAGTCACTTTTGAAGGAGCACGAGGCAGATGGGAAGTAAACAAGTGGAGAAAATACGTATGCATTCATGTGTTTCAGTGTTTCTGTGTGCATCGTGTTCTTCCAGGTACATCCAGATGCCCAGGCCGTTCTGCTTCGAGCCCAGTAACCGCTACGTGGTGGCCATCAGGTTCCAGCGTCACGGAGTCACACACCGACATCTGACCGCCTTCATCCTCATTGACTCGGTGAGCTGGTAACCGGGAGCCTTTTATTTCCTCATTTATTCCTCATTTGTAAAGACGGTCTGGGAAGCTGTCGTCACTGAGGCTGTAATGAGGAGTCTGCTGTGGCTCCATCAGTGCAGCTGCTGGGTCCCACTTTAAATAATGAGCAGGTTCAGTGAGCAGCAGTGGAGGAGGTTTCCCCCTAGTGGTGGGACAGTACAAGTACAGCTGTTGCCGTTGTGCTTTAACACATTGGTTTGGGATTAACTTCCATCGACTGTATAAACTTTCCTTTAAACCACTTTTTAGAATTTATTTCTTTAAACACAAACAGATTTTGGTATTTAAGTGTCTCTTTGTGCCAAAAATATGCACATTTCTCGAGAGAATCTTTGTTTGTAGAGTTGATTTCTCTCTTTCAGCCGTTACAGTCTCATGTTTTATTTTATTTTACTTTGTTTTTTTGTTCTGAGGATGTTTTGGGGATGTTGCTGTTGAGAACATTCTTCCAGAAAATGTTCCCTCAATGTTACATGATAACAAAAGAACTTCATCCTGCCTTTGCAGAACTTTAAAAAGAAATTCTAGCTGGTCCCAGTAAGCAGGGAACGTTCCCACAACATTGTCTAACATTACCAATGAGTTCTAATAATGTTTGAAACCATTTTAATCTAATGTTCAAAGAGCGTTTTGAGAGTATTTCTCATGTCAAATAATGTTCCTGTGAGGTTAAAAGTGAACTAAGACAGAACGTTTTAGCATTCAGAGGATGTTTGGAGGATGTTGTTGGATTATGTTCCATGATAACAAAAGACGAACGTTCTCAAACTAAGCTTCAAAAAATGTTTTCAAGACGTTATGGAGGCCTCAGAAGACAGAATGTGTTTTTATAAAACGTCCCTGTAGTTAGGAATGTTAAAAAAGGTGGAACACTTTGTCTACAATGTTCTGAGGATGTTTTGGGGATGTTGCTGTTGAGAACGTTCTATAAAACATTCCTACAATGTTACATGATAACAAAGGAAGGATGTTCTCGATGCAACATTCGGAAAATGTTTTCAAAACGTTTTTAGAGCGTCTTTAGAGAATTTTATCCTGTCTTTGCAGAGCTTTCCCAGAATATTTTTGGAACAAAACAAACTGTAGTTGGGCCCAGGAGGAGGGAACGTTCCAACAACATTGTTTAACATTACCAACCAAGTTCTAATAATGTCTGAAGGAAAAAGGGTTTTCTAGATGTTACCGAGGCCTCAGAAGACAGAATCTGGTTTTATAAAACATCCCTGTTGTTAAGAATGTAAAATAAGGTGGAACACTTTGTCTACAATGTTCTGAGGATGTTTTGGGGATGTTGCTGTTGAGAACGTTCTTCTATTAACTTCATCCTGCCTTTCTGCAACATTAGCTCCTTCTAAGCTACAATGTTTTGTTCCAAAACGTTCTGAGAAAGTTCTGCAAAGTTCAGGTAATGTGTTCTTTTAGTTCCCAGAATGTTCTTCTTAAAAGCAGAATAAAATCTTTCTCTCTGTGTTGCTTTGATAACATGTTTCCTTTGTCATTATTGTGGGAACGTTTTGATGAAGAACGTTTTCAACAGCAACATCCTCTGAATGTTAAAATGTACCGTCCCGGTTCCTTCCCCAAGAAAGTTCTGTAAAGTTCTAGTAATGTTTCAGCAGGAAGTTTTCTTTAGTTTCCCGAATGTATATGGAAAGTTCTCTCAAGACGGAAGAACATTCTTGGAACTAAGAGTAAAATTCCATCACTAGAACTTTACAGGACTTTCTCGAAACGTTTTAACTCACAATCCTGATCTAATTACATTAATTTCTGTGACTTTAATCTTTTCTTTGTTTTGACCTCAGATTATTATTTTTTTTGTTTCTTAACCCCAACAGCTGGTCCTGATCCCCAAATACACGGAGCTTCCTGGTTTCGAAGGCAACGAGCCGGAGGCGGAGCAGCGGCGGGACGAGATGATCCGCTACATGTGTCTGGACTCCTTCATGATCACGCCGATGCCCGCCCTGGCCGAGATGTGCTCCAAACTCATCTGCAGCATCTCCTCCATCATTCACGACGGCGCTCTGCGTACGTACACGCAGAAGTAAACGAACATGTCCGGAGTTTCTTTGGAGTAACAGTGAGATATTTGATGTGTTGTCTTTTTTCTGCGTGCAGCCTGTCAGTGTGACCCTCAGGGCTCCCTCAGCGGAGAGTGCGATAAGGTCGGAGGTCAGTGCCGATGCAAACCCAACGTCATGGGTCGACGCTGTGACCAGTGTTCACCAGGAACCTACGGCTTTGGAGCAAATGGTTGCACTGGTGAGATACATGATAGTGTTGGCAGGGTCGAACAGTTAATGAAGCTAGTATTTACACTTCATCAGTTTTTGCACGCATTGTTATGTCGTAGGTTTCATTTTGAATCAATAACAGCCTTTTTTCCCCATAAATCTACACTAAATAAGCCATAATGACAAAATGAAAACATGTTATTAGAATGTATTTAAAGTTAGTCAAGTTATGCCTTTAGCTTAGCGTCTCTGTAGCTTCTCTACTTGACAGAGATCCATCCATCAGCATTCATAAGTCGTCAGCATTAGCATCCATCTTAACCCTGAAGTTTTACTCTTCAAGTGATGAATGTAAAAAGGATGGAGACCAATGAGTGGAGGACCAACGCTAAAAGTAGTAGATGGCAAACATCCCACTTGTGGATCTATACCAACACAAGCCATAGCTGCTTATAGTAAATCAGCTCAAATAAAATAAATGTTAAAATCATAAATGTATAAAGGAAAAATATATGTAACATGTACACATTCTTAAATTTAAAATCAGATAAAACAGCTTTAAATGATCAAAAGCGTTAGCCGTTAGCATTAGCATTAATACCAGACCCCGTCCCAAGAACCTTCTGTCAGATGATTTTCCTGAACAATGTGGAGGTAATCTTCCTCCTCCATTAATATCATTCATTATTCCATTTATATAGTTTAAAGCACCACTGTCAGCAGAACAGCCCCAGAGCATGATGCTGCCACCACCATGCTTGACGGTTTAAAGCCTCGCCTTCTGTCCTCTGAACATATTTCTGGTTGTTTTGGCCAAATGGCTCAATTTCTGTTTCATCTGACATATCTACAGCTACAAGGGACAAAAACACGTTTCAGTTATTCCATCACAGAAAATTTTGAGTCATAGGAATCACTGGAAACTCAAGATGTCATGAGTTACATGGTTTTGACAAGCTTATGCAAACGTGTTTATAGCTGTATTATGTAATTTTCTTATTTAATGAATTATGTGAAGGAATGCTGTTGAACTGTGTTCTAATCTGGCGTTTGTGAAAAAAATCCTTGAACACAAAATCAAAGAAATAAATCAGTTTTTGTTGCACAAGCAGAGGTTCTCATAAATAAAAGCACTGTCTAAACCTTTTATTTTTTTTTCCCCACCCAGCCTGCGACTGCCACTCAGATGGTTCAGTGAGCCACCAGTGTGACCCAGTAACCGGCCAGTGCCAGTGCAGGCAGGGAGCCACCGGACGCCAGTGCTCCGACTGCCAGCCGGGCCAGTGGGGCTTCCCCAGCTGCAGCCCCTGCCAGTGCAACGGCCACGCCGACCTGTGCGACCCCCGTACAGGGGAGTGTGGAGGCTGCAGGGACTACACCGCCGGACACCTCTGTGAACGGTAAGGACACACCGTTTATTTAAATAGATCAACTGATTGATTTATTTACTGTGTTTGTACAGAATCACAGAGACCAGTTGATTCTGTGTTGAACTATTCACTCCATTTCTTATTTTTTATTTTATAGTTTTATTTTTATTGTAATACTGTATGTATTTGCTTGTATTTGTTAGCCATCAGTATTAGCATTAGCCATCTGTATTAGCCTTAGCCTTCAGTATTAACATTATCTGTTAGTATTAGCATTATTCATCAGTATTAGCATTAGTCACCAGTATTAGCATTAGCCATCTGTATTAGCCTTAGCCTGCAGTATTAACATTATCTGTTAGTATTAGCATTATTCATCAGTATTAGCATTAGTCACCAGTATTAGCATTAGTCTTCAGTATTAGTAGGCTGTTAGTCACTAGTGTTAGCATTAGTCATCAATACTAGCATTAGCTTTCAGTATTACCATTAGTCTTCAGTATTAGCATGAGCTGCCACTATTAGCATTAGATATCGGTTTTAGCATTTGTCATCAGCATTGGCATAAATTGTCAACATTGGAATTAGCCATTAGCATTAGCCATCACTATTAGCATGGGTCATCAGATTAATAGTAAGCACCTCCTTCATTTGTCCCAGTTGTATGGATGGGTTCTTTGGAAACCCAGTGCTGGGATCGGGGGAGCACTGTCGGCCCTGCCCCTGCCCCGGCAACCCCGGCTCCGACCACTTTAATGGCCATTCATGCAACGCAGACCATGCGTCCAATCAGATCATCTGTAACTGCAGACAAGGCTACACTGGTGAGTCAGCAGCAACACAGCGACATACAGCTCAGCTCTTCCTATAATTGATAATCAACTTTTCACCTGATTGATTTATTTACCTCATTGGAACAGCCTGATTCTCCACTTCCTGTCTCTATCTATATATATTTATTGATGTGTTTCCCTCCCAGGCCCCCGCTGTGACCAGTGCGCCCCCGGTTACTACGGCAACCCGGGGCAGTCCGGCGGCCAGTGCCTCCCGTGCAGCTGCAACGACAACATCGACACCCAGGACCCCGAGTCGTGCGACCCGAGGACCGGCCGGTGCCTGAAGTGCCTGTACCACACCGACGGGCCGTCCTGCGACCGCTGCCAGCTCGGTTACTACGGCAACGCCTTGAACCGCGACTGCAGACGTGAGTGATGTTGGCGGAGATTTAACAATACAGCTGGACTATACGGACGTGTCGTGGTTTTGCTTGTTTCTCAAGGAGAGGCGGGTTTGTTTGGCGCATTTTAACACCCAGGCACAAGTGGTTTACATATAACGTTAAAAAGCATCGAGACAACTCGCAAACGGAAGCAAACGCAGTTCAAACAGTTTGGAGGAGGAGAAAAACAAGATAAAATGGAAGCTAAACAGCTACAGTGCAGTTTAAAATATTCATTCTTTATTGGAAGGCCGAGGTGAACAGAAAAGTTCACCTGCTGCTTTCTGGGAGGTTTTTTTTCCACATGTGAGCTGCATAGAATCCAAAAGCTGCTTTGTTTTGACTTTGGCGGCAGAATTTCATAACGGAGAAGCCGATCAGATCAGAAATACGTTCTGTGGCTGCTTTATAAAACCAACAGAACTATTTTAGAATCAGTTATTTCCCAGACACGAGGCCAGAGCGTCAAGAACCTAGCTTTATGATGTAGCGCCGGTGCTATTTCAGGATGTTTACATAGAATTCAATCAGTCAAATTACTTTGATAAATGTTTTTTATTTTTTTTTTTATCTCTTTTTATTTATTTATTTTTTATTTAAGCACATAAAAACAAAACTCCTTGCACGTACGCTAAATGCAGCTAGCTTGGTTATTTTGCTACACAGGTGTTTTTATGTTGTTATCCAGATTGTTCCATATTGACGCCTGATTTTTTTCTCGATGATAATAACAATATTACATTTATTTTTTAAGCGCTTTCAGTCAAAGTGCTGAACATAGAGATAAAAGCAACTTGACAGTAAAAACATCAGAAATCCACAAACGTACTGAAGCAATAAAAAGCATTTAAGACTCACAGCAATCAAGCGGCTCTTCAGCTTTGTTTTAAATACATCAATGGAAGACGGCCGCCTGGTTTCAACAGGCTGACTGCTCCACGATGTCAGTGCACGGAAAGAAAAAGCCCAACCGGCTTTCTACGGACCTTTGGGACACTCAGAAGCCCAGTCCCTTATACGGGTTCACCAGATTCACCAGATACGATTTTAAATGTGAGCAGCAGCACCTTTAGCCAGTGCAGGGAGGCCAGCGCCGTATCTGCTCGGTCTGGTCAGAACACGAGCTGCTGCGTTCTGGACCATCTGCAGACCACAAAGGCTCTTCTTTGGCAAACCCGATCTTTGGAGCTATCATGGGATTTTCTAGTAATTAATGCAACGCGTGTATTCTGGCCCCAAACTACGAAGTCAATTCTTTAGTCAGTGTAAAGGTTGAAATAACTCAGACGTGAAGCGATTTGATCCACCGTTTTGGTCTTAGTGAGGAAACGAGCCGCAGAGTTCTGAATCAGCTCCGGCTGTCTTGTTGTTTTCAGTCAGTAGAAACATAAAGAACTTACATGTGGGTTGATGCTGTATCACCAACTATTACTGAGGACTTTATTAGAGCTGTATTTACTTTCTGCTTGTACACCAGCACTGTGGAGCGTGTAGACGCTGAGTAGAACCGTTCTGTTTCTCAGGCTGCACCTGTGTGACCGCCGGAACCGTCCAGTCCGACTGCAGCGACGGCCGGTGCCACTGCGACCGGCAGGACGGAACCTGTCGCTGCAGGGAGAACGTGACCGGACACAACTGCGACCAGTGCGCCCCGAACCACTGGAACTACGGCCAGGACCGAGGCTGCGAGCCCTGCAACTGTGACCCGCAGCACGCCCTGGGAAGTCACTGCAACATGGTGAGGACGCGTGCTAAAAAAAAACAAAGACGTCTTTGTGTTGTTGTTGTGGCGTTCTTTTAAAAATGTGTGTTTCTCTGCAGTTCACGGGACACTGCCACTGTCGTCAAGGCTTCGGAGGGAAACAGTGCACCGAGTGTGAGCAGCTCCACTGGGGAGACCCGCAGGTGCAGTGTCAAGGTAATCCACATCAGGACTCTTACATGAATCTGACAGAAGACTGAACTTGTCGGCTTCGTGTCTGAACGCTGGTAGCTTTTCTGTAAAAGTCACAGATTATCACCAGAGAACACAACAACAACAAACTAATGTGTTATTGAGCTCTTACATAAACAAATGTGACACATTTGCCAACATTTTTGTAAACGATTGCCCCTCAGGGGGCATTAGATTGGATGTTTGTGTGCATATCACACAGAACAGTCAACTTTAAAGATAGAAAAATACACAAAAGGCAGCTTGAGTTTGAACGTCTGAGGGCTGAAACGTTACAGAGTGATTATCGGTTTGTATACATGTTTGTTTTTCTTCCGTTCCCTAATATTCCTTCAACAGTTCCAGGAAACATGATTCTTTGGAGTGAATGTTTTGCAGCTGATTGGTCCTTCATGTATTTAGTTGTTATTTTAGCCAGAATTCATGACAAATTGCTTCCACTTCAGATGGACAAGGAGTGAACAGTTGAGTGTAGCTGGTGAATCGGGAGGTTTAGACGTCTAAAATCAGTTTCTTAGATCTGAGTGATGGTCGGAGTTTGTCCAAACTGAGCTCTGATGGGATTTCTGTCAGTGACAAAGAAGGTTGTGATGAAAGAACATGATGCATTTAGAAACTGCTGCACTGAATTAGTGATGAAAACAACTAATGAAAATATAATCCAATAACAAGATCGATTTTCAGAAAGTAAAAGAACTAAAGGAGCTTTGTTCTACTTTGTGTTGACATTTGAAGATCTGCTGCTTCGTTCCTGCTCTTTAAATCTCTTTGTCTTTTTGCAGCCTTTTTATTATTTCCTATGATCCCGAATTAACGAGTTTGCTTCAATAACACGATGACACCCAAGATTTTAATATTATCTGGTGCTGTTTAGAGAATCTGGCTACTGTGAGTTGAATCTTTAAACTTGTTTCACTTCTTGATCTTCCTCAGAGTGTAACTGCCACCACCTGGGCTCAGAACTGCTCCAGTGCGACCGACTAACCGGCGCATGCGTGTGCCGGGAGGGCGCGGCGGGCAAACACTGCGACGAATGTGCTCGGGGCTTCACCGGCGTCTTCCCCAAATGCGTCCAGTGCCACCCGTGTTTCCAGCTGTGGGACGACGCCGTGTGCCAGATCAAGAGAGACCTGGACCACATCCAGGACACGGTGCAGAAGATCCTGGACAGCGGCGTCACGCCGGGAATCGGAGACTCGCGCATCAAAGAGCTGGAGAGGAAACTGAAGCGAGTGAAGGAGCTGATCAGCGCACAGGACAGCGACAAGATCCACCAGCTGATTGGACAGAGCATCGACGACCTCAGGTGAGGACGGGACGCCGAGATGGGACGAAGCTTCATCACAAATCAGAACATTATTAGAACTGCTCGACCGTTGTAGCAGAAAATCTGGATATTTATGAAGATATTTATGAAATTTTAGATTTAGATGTCGAATATAGGGCTGCAAGGTGGCGCAGTTGGTAGCACTGTTGCCTCGCAGCAAGAAGGTTGCCGGTTCGCGTCCCGGTGGGGGCACCGGGATCTTTCTGCGTGGAGTCTCCATGTTCTCCCCGTGCAGCGTGGGTTCTCTCCGGGTTCTCCGGCTTCCTCCCACAGTCCAGAAACATGCTGAGGTTAATTGGTGATTGTAAATTGTCCGTAGGTGTGAATGTGAGTGTGCTTGGTTGTCTGTCTCTAAGTGTAGCCCTGTGATAGACTGGTTACCTGTCCAGGTGAACCTGCCTTCACCCTGAGTCAGCTGGGATAGACTCCAGACCCCCATGACCCTAGTGAGGATTAAGCGGTGTATAGATGATGGATGGATATCGAATATGTTGTTTAAAAAGTTGACAGCTGACCCACTTTCAGTGTTTGAAAAATGAGAAACTTCAGGCTGTTTGATAAAAGCCTTACTTCTCATCATGTCATTGATCAGGAAGCTGGACAAATCGATCACATAATCACTGCTATATATGAGCTGAAATGTGAAAGAAAATGAAGAATTGAGTCATGAAAAGTCCTGTCTGAGCACATTAACAAAAAACTGATCAAACTATTTTAAAACTTTAGATACAGCTTTCTACCAAAACTTTTCTTTTTGTGCTACGACTTGATCAATCGGTTCTAAAAGTAGGAAAAGTTCATATGTGTGACCAAGTTTGTTTTTCTATAAAAAGTGTTTTATATATTTTTTTGTGTTATTGTGACGCGCAATTACATGATTCAGAAAATATCACTTCAGTTGACTTGTGCTTTCTAATCTTGTTGTTAATGTGCTCAAAGAAGAGACTTTTCATGACGCCTTTGATTTTTTTTTTTCACATTTCAACTCACTCATAATCAGAGATCATTTATAATCTGCTTGTGTCATGATACAGATTCTAAATCAGTGACATAATGACCAATAACAGGGAACATTTCAGGCTTTTATCTTTACTAGTTTCTGACTAGTTGTTGTTCAAACAGCCTCAAATTTCAATGTTCAACAAAAACCTGCTGCATGTTATCTTTCAAAGTATCTGACATATGAATCTAAAATTTTAGAGCTACATTAAATGTTGATAAAGTCTGATTAAAACGTTTCAAGCCAGTCAGAGCCACCATCTCTCTTAATTGTAAAAACGCTGTTTGTGTTTTCAGGGCTGAGATTGCTCTGACAGATGGACGTCTGATGAGCATCGGCCGGGAGCTGAACGCAACAGCAGAAGAAGACAAGGTCCTGAAACGCATCTTAAACAACTTGGAGAAGGAGCTGAGGGACGTTAACGCCACCGTGGCTCTCAAACAGAACCTCCTCGACGACTACCTCACCTCAGGGTTTGCAGGTAGGAACCCAATCAGACAGGAATGTTCTGTTACGGCCACAGTGTAAAATAATATGCAAAACACCAGAACCCTGCTCCCGCTCTCCACAGATCAGTTTGAGAAAGTGAAGAAGTACTATCGGGAGTCGCAGCAGGCTGAGGAGAAATGCAACGCGTCGGTGTCCGGTCCCAACAGTCCGGTGGAACAGTCCAAAGAGACCCGAGCGCTCACGGAGAAGCTGCTGGAAGCCAGTAAAGACAAGTTCTTCAAAGATCTGGCAGCTCAGAACAAATCCCTGAGCGAGCTGCAGCAGAAGAGCCACGACCTGGACAAGAAGGTGCATCACCTGAGCCACAAGGTGAGAAGTCCTGGAAGTCACATCTTTTGTGTTTTCAGTCCAAATGATGCCAAAACAAACAGTGTTTCTGCTCCACTCTGTCTTGTTCTGCTCATCATTTCACTTCCTGTTACCACGATGTTGCCCCTCCCTTCAGGTGTGCGGCGGTCACAGCAACGCCAGCGTCAACGTTAGTTGCCCGGACAGTCGTTGCGGCGGAGCCGGTTGCCGTGACGATCAGGGCAACCGCGTGTGTGGAGGTGAAGGATGCAACGGGACGGTCAGCGCCTCCACAGCGGCACTGAACGATGCCAGGAACCTCTCAGACAGTCTGAACGCCGTCAACGACGAGCTGCAGGGCGTCTCCAAAAAGGTGAAACAGTCTGCAGTGACTGACGGCCGCGAGGTTCCTCTGCTGACTCTCGGTTCCTCTGCTGACCCTCGGTTCCTCTGCTGACTCTCGATTCCTCTGCTGTTTCTTGGTTCCTCTGCTGATTCTCGGTTCCTCTGCTGTTTTGTGGTTCCTCTGCTGACTCTCGGTTCCTGTGCTGTTTCTTGGTTCCTCTGCTGATTCTCTGTTCCTCTGCTGACTCTTGGTTCCTCTGCTGACTCTCGGTTCCTCTGCTGACTCTTGGTTCCTCTGCTGACTCTTGGTTCCTTGTGTGCAGCTCCAGGACATCGCCGCTCTGACGCAGGACGTGAAGAACCAGGCGATGAACACACTGGAGAAGGCCCAGAAGAAGAAGGACCAGTTTGACAACAACAACAAGAAGCTCAAAGACTTCATCAAGAAGATCAAAGACTTCCTCACCGGTGCGATTAAACCGTCTCCACTAGAATACGTGTTTTTCAGCATCACAGGAGGAACACACAGGAACACACAGGTTTTTGAGTTTAGCAGGATTTAATCAGGAAAGTCGTACTACGTAATATCTCTAGTAGTAGTAGAGAAAAGACGTGAAGACTTCAGTTCAGTTTGTTGTCATTCAGACATGTTAAAAACATAAACAAAGGACAGCTGTACCAGGTCCAGCAGCAAACAGAGGAAATAAATTAATAAAAACAAAACCTGTAATAAAAAGAACACATCGTTTATAAATCTGTCTGTGGTGAATTAAACTCATCATCATCCAACATGCTGAACTCAACCCAAGAAACAGGAACAGAAACATGTTGTTATATAATATTTGTAGACTTTAAATCACTGATTCTTATTTGAATAGTACTTCCTGTTTCTATGAGCTCACTTCCTTCTTGGTGCTGCCAACCTGCCGCTAACATCAGATGCTACTAAAGAAAAACAATCAACCGATTCAGTACAAAGATTCTGTATTCGGATCACTGCTTTAAAAGCCTAAATGTTTGGTTGATTTGTTGTTGTTGCGCCCAGAGGAGGGAGCGGATCCGGAGAGCATCGAGCGGGTGGCCCAGCAGGTTCTGTCCATCCAGCTGCCGCTCAACAGAACCACGCTGGACAAGATGATCATGGAGATCAAGGAGAACCTGGCCAACCTCACCGACATCCAGGGGATCGTCAACCAAACCTCGCAGCACATCAGCAAAGCCAAGGAGCTGCTGGACAAAGCCAAAGAGGCCAAGTGAGCGACGCAACACCGTCTCTGAACCAATGATACGCAAAGCAGGCAGAGAACGTTCCCACAACATTGGCTAACATCACCCACGAGTTCTAATAATGTTTGGAAGAAAACACTTTAATCCGATGCCCAAAAAGCATTTAAAGGATATTTATCATTTCAAATAATGTTTTCATGAGGTTAAAAGTGAACCAAGATAGAACGTTTTAACATTCAGAGGATGTTATCAGATTATGTTCCATGGTTACAAAAGGAGAACGTTATCAGACCAACATTCAAAGAATGTTTTCCAGATGTTATCGAGGCCTCAGACGACAGAACCTGTTTATATAAAACGTTCCTATAATGTAATGTATTAACAAAGGTGGAACATTTTGTCCACAGTGTTCTGAGGTTGTTTTCTGGATGCTGCTGTTGAGAACGTTCTACTATAAAACGTTCCCACAGTGATAGCAAAGGAAGGACGTTCTCAATGCAACCTTTAGAAATTTTAAGTTAAAAACCCAGGAAGCAGGAAACGTTCCTTCAGCATTACCTACAAGTTCTAATAATGAACACTGAAGAACGTTCTCAGTCCAACATTCAGAAAATGTTTTCCAGATGTTTAATCGAGGCCTCAGACGACAGAACCTGTTCATATAAAACGTTCCTGTAATTTGGTGGAACATTTTACCTGCAATGTTTTGGGGATGTTGCTGTTGAGAACATTCTTCTACAAAACGTTCCCACAATTTTACTCGTTAACAAAAGAAGAACGTTCTCAAACCAACGTTCAAAAGTATTTTCAAGATGTTCTGGAGGCCTCAGAAGACGGAATGAAAACGTTCCTGTAATTTAAAGTATCAACAAACCTGGAACATTTTGCCTACAATGTTCTGAGGATGTTTTGAGGATGTTGCTGTTGAGAACGTTCAACAACATAAAACGTTCCCACAATGATAGCAAAGGACGGATGTTGTTGATGCAACATTCAGGAACATTTTTAGAGTCTTTAAAAACTTAAAACATTCTGGGAACTAAGACATAATGTCCTGCTGAAAACATTACAAGAACGTTGCAGAACTTTCTCAGTCTTTAGAAACAAAAACGCTGCAGCTCGATGAGAACGAACCTGTAGAAGGTGTTGATGTTTTAGCAGAAGGCGTTGGTCGGCTTCATTAACTCTCTTCACCAAAAAAAATCCATCTGAAGCCCTGAAATGTTCCAGTTTAGCAGCTCGTATAAATGTTTCTATACTAACAGTAAATCACAGGATTTCATGGACTCTGTAGTGACGAACCTCTAGTCGGCACATTTCAACTCATTCAGCTCATTGGCTGGTGTTACAGCTCGCAGCGTTTCCTTCTGGGTTCACTCTCGTCCATGTTTGTTCTGCTCTAAGCCTGCACACTGTCGACCCACAACCACAGACGTGTTCCTGTGGCTCTGCTGGGTGTGCAAATAGGCATTGAAAGTCCGTTTAGCAGCTCCTGTAAAGCTCACTTATCATCACACTGCAGCTCCACTTCAAAACAAAACAGACATTTTAATGAAGTTACGCCGACGTGCATCCATAACAGCAAAGCTCTCATGTGCTCTGTGCAGGAGTCGAGCAGAGGCGGTGAAGGACGCCGCCAACACCACCAAGCAGGCGCTGGATGTTTCTGAGAAGGCCATCGAGAAAGCCAAGACGGCCCTGAAGGAGGCCAAAGACAACCTGAACAGCACCAGGAACGCCACGGCCGCGGTACCAGCACCAGAACACCAGCTGACATGTGCAGCGTCACACAAACCTCCTCGTCTGTTCTTCATTCTTTCCGTTGTTTGGTAGGTGGAGGAGAAGCTGGTGCAGCTGGAGGACAAGCAGATGGACGTCATGATGCGTTTAAACAACCTCTCCATCGGCGTCGAGGCTCTGAGGAACAAGACGGAGCAGAACCGGCAGATGGCTAAAGACGCCAGCGCTCTGGCTAACAACGCCACCCAGCTGGCGTCCTCTCTGGCTCAGGTGAGCATGTAGGCAGCTGCAGGTTTGTTTCCAACTTAAAGGATGTTTTACAGTGAAACTGCTGAAACTAACAACGCTGTGTGGCCTCCCAGAGCCTCAACGACACGGAGGAGCGGTACCGGGAGCTGAAGATGAAGGTGGACGGTCTGGGTGAGGCCGGAAATCTGACCGGCATCCACCAGAGGGCCAAAGACATCAAGAAGGACGCAGAAGATCTGTTCAACAAAGCCAAGAACGGCATAAAGCAGCTGGACAGTGAGTGTCTGAAGCGTGTGCGCTGCTTTAAGGTTCTGGTTCCTTTAAATCACTTTAGAACACCTCGTTCTGCACCTCGAGCCGTCAGAGCTGAGAGTCAGTTACTGATAAAAGTGTTTTTTTATAAAATTCACCTGCAGACATTTGCTAGACGTGTTCCTTCTCTGTTGTTGCTCTTTTTAGGGTTTGTCGTTA